GCCCTCATGTTCACCTACTGCCACAGCTGGCCATAAAACTGGGCACCTACCTTGCTGAGAGCTCTTCTGGGAGAGAAGAGTGGGAAGATTAAGTGGAGGCAAGCTTTTTTTTATCTGTTTACACCATGAGAAATGACCTTTGTCTAATTCCATGGTTTTGGTTGTGCATGCTAACAAGAGGAAGAAAACCAAGTCTGTACCCATTTCACTGGAGTAGATTCTTTTTCTCCTTCCAGTGAAAAGAAAACCCTTCACATGTGGAATAACATGGAAAAAAGAGACTTATTTTTCTATTTTTTCCAGACCAAAATGCAACTGGTTGCAAAGCAGCAGGTGAGGCAGAACAGGTAGCATCCTTCAGTGAAGAATCCCCACACTCAAGGTTTGGGACAGTAATAGCAACAGGCCAACTTTTAAGCAGAGCCTGCATAGCTCAGCTGGAAAAATATCAGACTTTTAATATGAGGCTCCAGGGTTCAAGTCCCTGTTCAGGTAAATGCTCTTTGTCAAAAGGAGAAATTCTTAAAATTGCATCTAAGATCCAATTTCTAAGTAAATTCCAACCTTGAGAGGCCCTTGCCTCTTCCTTCATGTTTTGCAGGGTTGAGGTTCCCAAGCTCCCCATCTCTGGTGAGGTTGGTTGCTGACTGGGATGAGACAGGAGCTCTGCTGGAGGAGCTGAACATTTTGGACACTATGGTTTTCTTTATATTAAAAAGTAAATTTCAGCTTGAATAACTTTCTTCTCATTGTATATGGTACTTAATTGAATAAGTGAAAGGGGAGGAGGGATTACAAAAAAACAAGATTCAGCATGCTTGTTCCCCCAGGAAATCAATAATGAAAAGGAAAGAAAGCATTTCAAGGTTTCCTTACAAGCGTCCCCTGGATGTGCTGCACGCTATTTAACCCAGCATCACTGGGTCCAGTTTCCCTCACCCCTGCGCAAGAGCAGCCACACAGGGCAGAGGGATGTCCCTTCTACACAAGGACAGCTCAGGAGAGCCGTGGGCCGCAGCTGCTCGCCCACCCCTAGTTGTGCTACTGTCCGGGCTGTTTGCTTTGCAGATTCTCAGAGCTTTCGAGATTCTAGTGCGAAGCCAGTTCCAGAGCCTGCGAATCCTGGCATGAGCTCAGGGCCGGATTAACCTTTAGTAGGCCCTAGGCAAACAAACTCAAACAAACTAGTGGGCCCTAGGCAAACAAACTGTCAGGCTGGTCGAGAGCCTCCTCCCCACCCCAGCACTGCTGCCCCCAGGGAGCGGGGCTTGGAGCTGCTGCTGCTAGGAAGCAGCCGGAGCAGTAGCAAGGGCAGTGGAGGGGAAGAGAAGGGAAGAGAAGGGAGGCGGACAGGGCCATTTGCACTGCTGCGGCGGGAAGGGCCGCCTTTGCAGCTCAGGGCCTAGGCATGCGCCTAGTTTGCCTATGCGTTAATCCAGCCCTGCATGAGCTGCTAAGGCCTGTGGCTCCAGAAAACCTTATGGCAGGGCTGCCCAGGAGCCAGAGGGCTTGGGATGGGAGAGAAGTCAGCTTCACTGAACAGCCTCTAGCTTTTCTGCTTTTCCTAAACAAAACGCTACTGGGATGTCCAGACTGCAGACAAGTAAAATAGCACCGATTTCAGTTCAGTTCAAACTGGAAAAAAGAAACGGATTCCTTCACTTCTCCCCCCAGATTCCCCAGGCTGGAGCCCCTCCTGGCCAGGCAGCTCCGCACGGTACACATCAGAAGGGCAAACAATCTGAGAGCAACAATTTAGTTAGTGCTGTGATTTCTTGGAGGTGGGTTAATTGGTTGGGATTAAGTTAAAGGGAAAGAAAAGGCAAGGAAAGGAGTGAAGGGCACAAGGCAGGGATGAGGAGGGGTAAGAGGGAGTGAAGGAACTGGCAGGGAAAGGGCAGGGAGGGCAAGAGCAAACCCAGCCAGCAGAGGGGAAAATCTAGTCAGAGCTGTCAAAAGTTCTCTCAGTGGCTACAAATGAGCTGTGGCTGCTTTCTGCGCACCGACGTCTATAGAGTTGGCATTTCTACTCTATTCACTCTATTTCACCTTTTCCCACCCATTTCACGACTGCATTGCAAAACATGCAGATGGCACTGGACACTGGCAACACGTAGCGGGTACACATGGGTGCATGCGCACCCCCCTGAGTGTGGTGGTGCACCCCCTACAAACCCCCTGTGGGTGGTCGCCGCTTGCTACCCCCTCTCCCCCCATCGTCAACAGGGCCAGTGGCATCTGTGGGTGGTCAGCCATCACCGCTGGCTGCTGTTGATGCTGCCGGCAGCGTCTGCAGGTGGTTGCCAACCTCTGGTCAGCACTCACCACCCCTCCCCCCACTGCCAACACTGCCGGCAGTGTCTGTGGCTGCTCCCGTCATTCATGCTGCTGGAGAACTACAGCATCTAAAAGTCACTTTTTGGGTCTCTTCTCTCCTTCAGTCCGGTAGAGTTGCAATGCCAGTGTGTCTTGCGAAAAAGTGTACATAGCTCATCGTGGCTAACAGTTTGGAGACAGCTAAAAAGAAATATAAATGATATATTTAAGGGAGGAGCCTGGTTGGGTTGAAAGCAGAGAGGAAGGACAAATGTTTGGACAAGACTTCCTGTTAGAAAATATTAGAACCATATCTCCAAACCTTGTTTTGAATTTATCCACACAGGAAGCAGAACGTTTTATGTTCTAAATATGACCATTGGGCAGCAAGACTGTGGTCAGCTGCTAGTAATCCAGCAAAGTATTTTTCCAGCTTGTTGGAGGGAGCCCGTTAGGTACCAAGGGCTGCACAACACTTGTACAGTGGAGCTCTGCTCTGAAAAGTGATCATGGACCTTGGGCAGCTTCTCCCTCAGCAGGGCTGGGAGCTGCTCCTCAGAGCTTGCTCCTTACTGTTTTAGCCCGCGCGACGGAGGCAGCTCGGGGGAGTCACTCGTGTCCGGTTCGGACCCCAGAATCAACAGAACTGGGGACTGAGTGAGGTCCAACTTGGGGCCACCTGTGCAACAGGCTCCCCCGTGCCCGCTAGGGTCACCCGTGTAACTTCACCAACAAGGAAAGGGTGAGTTACCCAGGTGCGGGGTGATTGCAGATTTTTTTATGTTCTTTTATTTTTTTAAGGAAAATGTGTTGTGTTCCAAGCCAAATCAGCCAAATTGATTCCAGACCCGTGAGTCATTCAAGAACCGTATGTGGCCCTACTATGGGCAAACATCCTCCACCCCCACCTGGGGCTTCAGACGCTTCCCAATCCTTTGTTGGGCATCCTCCGTGCAGGCCCAAGCCCGGAGCTCGGGATTCGGATGCCCCCCGGTTCCGGTTGCCGGGAGCAAGCTGGAGAGGAGTCTCCCATTTCCATACAGCCAAGGTCTTGCACATGGAGGGCGGTGGGAAAGCTGCCACCAGGCAGATGCGCCTCGGGCCCCTTTAGCAGCGACAGGGGCGCTCTCCCGCCGCGCCCGTTGAGACCCAGGCAGCGCCGCAAACGCTGCGCGCGGAGCCGGCGCCGGACCGCGGTGGCGCTGAGGCTCTCCCTCAGGGCGTCTCCTCTCCCCGCAGCCCGGTGTCAACAGAGGGCGCTCCCTTCCCGGCTATGGAGCACAGCCTTGTTCTTTTCCCCTTTTTTTCCCCTCCAGCTCGCTCTCAAGCAGCCCGAAGAGACGGGAGAAGTTTGCAGCGCAACGTCCTTGACCGCACGGCGTCGGCTCCGCGCAGTCCGGGCGCGC